CGCCGACCTGGTTTGCCCGATAGGGTTGGGGAACGCCAGGTGGACGTAGTTTCAGTGCTCCTTCATGCTTTTGATCTTTGCCGCCAGCGCCGCGGTGGAGTTGCCCCGCTGCCCGATTGATCTCAAGAGATTGAGCACTCGTTCTGGCGACGGCGGCCTGGTCATGCCCATCTGAACGAACTCGGCGATTAACTGGCGCTTGTTAGAGGCGCCCTCGCCCTTCGTGTTCCTGGCCTTCTTGCCCAGCTTCGCCCTGAGGTCAGTGATGCTGAGGAGGCTGGCTTGTTTCTTGGGCGTGCCAACGTCCGTGGGCGCAAACCTTTTCTCGAAGTCAGAATTCGAGAAACTAGCAATCGCGCCAGCCCAATGTTGGATCCAGGCGTCCATCTCAGAGTCGAGCAAGCCAAGAACTTCGAGTCTGATTGCGCCAAGGCTGCGATCGCAGACTAGTGTTTCTTGGTGTAGTTCAGCAGTGCGTCCAACTTTGCTGCGGCAGCGGCGTCGTGACCAGGCCCGCCCTTGTCGTCCGTCTTGAGGATGTCCGGCCCTGTGGTACATGAGCCGCTTCACCATGACAGGCGTGTCCCATGCCGTCTTCAGCGTAGCTAGCGGAGCATCGTCGGCCGAGTCGGGGGCGACCAGAACTTGGAGCCCGCATCAGCGATGGCGCTCGAAAAGCACATCGTGCCCAGCGGGTAGTCGAAATTCACGCTCGGCACCACGGACTTGACTACGAGTGGCACGGCCTCATCGACGCCAGTGCAGCCATGCGCCCAATGCGTAGCCGAACCCGCCTGCAGATTCCAGGGACCTGTCGACGCACCCGTCACCGCGGCATTCATCCGGGGTTTCAGTTTCATCTCCGAGGCGTGCATGGTGTCATCGAACGGTTTCCCCTTCGCGAGGTCGTCGGCGTTAGTCGCGAACACGGGGCTCTCGCGCAGAACGCGCTGCCGCGGCAATTCGTCGGCTGGCGGAAGTAAGTCGTCTTCATCGTCGTCGTCGGCAGCCTTCTTGCCTTTGCCACCGCGGCTTTCGCCTCCGCCTCCGTTCTTGTGGGCCTTCAGGGCGCAGCCAGTCGCGCTGGGAATCAGTTGGCCGAGCTTCCTGAGAACTCTTTCCGCCTGCGCCAGTTCCATCTTCCAAGTCAACCTCGAGGACATCAGCGTTTTCCTCGACCTTAGACCCAGTGCCCTTTCCCTTCGACCTTCCCTTTCTGCTTCGCCTGCTTCGTCTCGACGGCGGAGCGGTAGAGATGCATGAATTCATCGGGCCTCTTCACCAGACCGACCTTGCCGCCGATGCAGAGCTGCACAATGCGGTCCCACACCGTCTCCAGCTTGTCAGGCTTCGGCGTCGCGACCCTGGCCGCGCGCGCGCGCGCCAGCGCGTCTTCGGCGTAGTCCACGACGGGCACTTTGCTCCCATTGCCAGCCGCAGCGGTCCCCTTCACCTCCTTGGTCGAGTTGAAGTCAACCTCGGTATGAACCGACGGGCGCTTGATCTTGTCCATGTTACTCGTCTGCGTGCCATCCGCAATTCAGATGGAGACGTCGGAGTTCGGCGCAATGAACTTAAGCGTTGACGAGAGCGCCGACGAGCGCCCTGCAGTCGAATGCCCCAGCTGCCGCAGCGCGCAATTGTTGAGCATGAAAATGGAACCGCGAGAGGTCTCATTGATGTCCAGAAGCTTGCAAGAGCGCTGGCAGAAAGCCAAGCATCGATCCCACAAGTCACCCATTGAACCAGACAAGAAGTCGCATGCTTTCTCGAAAGGAAGAACCCTATTGAAGAAAGGCGTCGGTCGTGATTTCAGCTATTCCTTGCGCGTCTGGCAGTAACCCTTCTGGCTCCCATCGGAGCCCCTCTACGCAATAGAAAATGTCTTGCGATAGCTCTCCCAGCTGCTCTTGTATTCGATTATCATTTTATACTTCTGGACGTGGCCGACGCCCGAACAGCTGGCTTCCCAGGTCGACAAGCTACTCAATCACAATGCTCGGCACGTCGTGCCTGAAGGTCGCGACGGTGCCCGCCTGGCCCTCGATGGTGCGCTCGACGTTATCCTCGTTGGGCTTCTCCTCATAGGCCCCGAACGCCGCCGATGAGGGTTGCTCCGCTGACGACCCGCAACTTCTCCGAAAACGTCGCAGACGGGTTTGACACAATCACCCACGTGTCGCTGCGGACCCCGCGCAGGGCGCCGTCTTGGAACGCGCCCTGCTTGGAGTTGTTATGAGTGTCTGCCTCGCACGCGCCGTTCAGCCCGCGGCGCCCGGAAAGTCCTTCGCCGGGAAAGAAATGGTCGAAGTAGGGTGGGTCGAGTCTCCAGGCCATCCTTGCTGATCGCCCAACCCTCCCATATTGTATCCTGTATCGCACGCCCTGTAAGCCCTGGGCATATGGTTCTGATTGCAGCGTGAGTCTCCGCATCAGCGGGGCCAACCATGGCGTCAAGTGGTGGTGTGAAAAATCAGCGCGGTTCGCGGTGCCAAGAGGTGCCAGACGAATGAACTCGAGCCAAACAGTTACGATATTATATTGATGCGAGGTTGTCTTGTTTGTTTCGGCGTCGCAATATCGGCTTCCAGAGCCGCGGCCAGAGCGTCGGGGATCTCGAAAGGCCGACCCAGAGGCCTCGCGAGGGCCTCCCAAACCTACGCGACATCCCAGCCGATTCGCCGGCGGAGCGTTTGGAGCGTCAGAAAGAGCGCGTTCTGTGGTCCGTTTGAGGGGGGGAGGTTGGAACCAGATCCCCCGCCATCCCTACTTCCCCTCTCTCCCTCTCCTCGGGCCGGCGCCTGCGTCGGCGGCGGCTGGCGGCCGGGGCGACGATTTCCATTTCTGGGCCGGCGCCGGCGCCTGCGGCGGCGGGCGGCGGCGACGGGGGGCGTCGACGAGGACGACAGTGGTGGTGGTGATGGGTTGTGGCGACAGAAGTGTTGGTTGTGGTGGTGGTGGTGGTGGTGGTGGTGGTGGTGGTGGTGGTGGTGTGGTGGTTCGTTATGGTGGTGGTGTGTTTGTGGTGATGGTGTGTGGTGGTGTGTGGTGGTGGTGGTGGTGGTGGGTGTGGGTGGTGGTTTGTGTGGTGGTGGTGGCGGTAGTGGGTTGTGGAGGTGGTGGTGGTGGTGGTGGTGGTGTGGTGGTGTGGTGGTGGTCGTGGTGTGGTGGTGTTTGTGCTGGTGGTGGTGGTGGGTTTGTGGTGGTGGCGTTGGTTTGTGGGGGTGGTGGTGGTGGCGGTGGTGGTGGTGGCGGTGGCGGTCGTGGTGGTGGTGGTGTGGCGGTGGTGGTGGTGTGCTGGTTTGTGGTGGTGGTAGGTTGTGCTGCTGGTAGTGGTGGTGGTTGTGGCGGTGGTGGTGGTGTTGTGGTAGATCGTGGTGGTGGTGGTAGTGGTGGTGGGTTTGTGTGGTGATGGTGAGTTGTGGCTGTGGTGGTTGTGGTGGCGGTGGTTGCTGTGGTGGTGGCGGTGGTGGTTGTGTGGTGGGTTGGTGGTGGTGGTGGGTTGAGGCGGCGGTCGTGGTGGGTGTGGCGGTGGCGGTGGTGGCGGTGGTAATTGTCGCTGCGTCCCCGCCGTCGCCGGCGCGGGCGCCGGCGGCTGAGCCTCAATCTGCCTTCAGCCTCGGCCTCAGCCTCAGCCTGCCTCAGCCTCAGCCTGCATCAGCCTCAGCCTCAGCCTGCCTCAGCCTCAGCCTGCCTCAGCCTCAGCCTCAGCCTCAGCCTGCTTCAGCCTCAGCCTCAGTCTGCCTTCAGCCTCGGCCTCAGCCTCAGCCTGCCTCAGCCTCAGCCTGCCTCAGCCTCAGCATCAGCGTGCCTCAGCATTCAAAATGTGGCCCGGGAATGGAGTTCTGGGAACTCGAAGAACACGAAGTGGCCTACAGTTTGTTCCGGGCATTCAAAATTATGCCCAGGAATGGAGTTCTGGGAACTCGAAGACCACGAAGTGGCCTACAGTTGGCTCCGGGCATTCAAAATCATGCCCAGGAATGGAGTTCTGGGAACTCGAAGACCACGAAGTGCGCTACGGTTGGCTGAAAAAAGTTCCCAGCACCCGTCCGGATCCCGCCCAGACCCCCCTGGGGAGTCATGAGTCATGGTGCTCTCTTTTGACACCATTAGAAACCTATCAGTCTTCGCTGTTAGGTAAACGTTAGCTGGAAGAGGCGATCGGGATCATAGCGTTTTGGGCCTGCTCTGGGATCTCCGTGCACCTCCCCGCCCTCCCACCCCCTGCGTGCCAGGCACGTGCGAGAGACGCGATACGGCGTCGCGTGTGCCCGTTTGCCAAGCCTATTTCTGGAGCCACGCGGTCGTGCGCCCGTGTGTTATTGCACGCGTTTGTTCCCTCCCCCTGGGGCCCGCGAGTTCTGGAGAGAGGTGCACCTGCCGTGGCGACCGTCCTCCGTGGCAGCACCGCTTATCACGCGCTCGTCCGCTCGCGCTCGACGCAGCGATTCAAGGGAGGAGGTGGAGGAGGAGGAGGATGAGGAGGAGGAATATGCGGATGAGGCTGAGGAGGAGGAGGAGGAGGACTTGAGGAGGAGGCGGAAGAGAGGGAGGAGGAGGAGGAGAAGGAGGAGGAGGAGAAGGAGGAGGAGGAGGAGGAGGAGGAGGAGCTGAGAAGCAGGAGGAGCAGGAGGAGCAGGACGAGGAGGAGGAGGATAATAGGACAAGAAGGAGGAGGAGGAGGAGCTGAGGAGGAGGAGGAGCAGGAGGACGAGGATGAGGAGTAGGAAAAGGATGAGGAGGAGGAGGAGGAGGAGAAGGAGTAGGAGGAGGAGGAGGATGAGGATGAGGAAGAGGAGAATGAGTAGGAGGAGGAGGAGGAGGAGGAGAAGGATGGAGAGGAAGAACGAGGACGAGAACGAGGACGACGACGAGGACGGAGAAGACGACGGCGACGACGACGACGACGTCGGCGATGACGTCGACGACGACGACGACGAGCTCGGCGACGACGTCGACGACGACGACGACGAGCTCGGCGGCGCGCCGCCGCAGAGGAGTCCATCGACCACCTCGACGGCTTCGTCGTCGTGACGGTTTGGATCAGGCGCTTGATGGGGTGCAACAGGCACGACGGCTTTGCTGCTGCTTGTGCCCCTCCCCCCTTTCCTGCGCTTGCCGCTGCTGCTCCTCCTCCTCCTCCGCCTCCTCCTCCTTTTTATCATTCCTCCCCTCTCGTCCTTCCCTCTTTCTCTCCTCCTATCCTCAATATTCCTCCTCTCCTCTCATCTCCTGCTCTCCTGTCCCTCCACTTTCCTTTCCGTTCTCTTCTCCTCCCTCCTCCTTCCTCTTCCTCGTGTTTCTCTTTTTCCTCCAGCCGTCCCTCTCCTTGCTTAGCTCCCTCTCGCCTCCCCAGGGGAAGCGCGAGGAGGGGGCGTGACCAAAGGGGAGATCAGGAGGAAGGGAATGGATGAACAGAAGGAAAAGATAATTGGGAGGATGGACGTGAAATTAGGGATGGATGGATGAGGATGAGGATTGGGATGCTGATGTAATCTAACACCCGTGGGGCTGAAAGTGTGCTTGGGCTCTTCAGGCAAAGAGCTGCCGCCTCTCCGGAGGTGTGCGTGTGTGTGTTTGTGCGTGTGTGTGATTCAAGCGGTTGAACAGGGGGTCGCGGGTGCCCCCTGGCCAGACCGAGCCACCCATGAGTCCAGAGTGCTGGAGTCGACTGCGAGTTCACACACCGTGTCGCCCCCTCCGACCGGCCGCGCCAGACGTGGGCATCAGGAGAGACGGTTGCGGGTACCCTCGTCGTCCTGGTGCTCGGAACGTGTTTCCGCCACTCCGTGCAGCATCACAACAGCACGGGGGCGAGCAGGATGACGTGCGTCGTCAGCTACGAGGGGGAGTACTTCAGCGTCGGTGATCTGGAGGCTGAACCAGCGCCCCGTGTAAGCGAGAGACATCGGTCATGCAGGCCTGCGCGGGGCCCATGTCAAGATGCCCACACCGAGCGCCCTGTGCAGGACAGCACGTCATGCGCACGAGAGCCTCGCGGAAATCGTCGGTTGCCGGTGCTCCAAAGAAGAACATGACGCTGTTCCGTATGGGCGGGACTGCGCGGAGACGCCAGCTGATTTGGATGTTGCCGCGCTCGAGGACGAGGAGGAGGAGGAAGAACGCAACACGCGTAAGCGTAAGGTCTGGCCAACTCTAAAGGAGGAGGAGGAGGAGGAGGAGGAGGAGGAGGAGGAGGACGGGGAGGAGGAGGAGGAGGAGGAGGAGGAGGAGGAGGAGGAGGAGGAGGACGACGACCCGCTCAGAGTGCCCCAGTCGCTAAAGTGGCGTGCTCGGGAGTGACCCGAGGAATCGCCCGCTGGTTGAGGAGCTTCCAGTAAGTATCGATGCAAGAGATGATCATGGAGATGTCGAGGTCCTTGGGGAGCTCGAGAGAGAGAGAGAGAGCGAGAGAGTGAGAGAGAGAGAGAGAGAAAGTGAGAGAGGGAGAGAGAGAGAGAGAGCCCTCGTCCTTGACCGACAAGACAGGTAATTACAGAAGCTGAACATGATGGAAGGGTCGACTACCAGGTCCGCGTCGACTGGCTGCGGGCAATAGTGAGGGGATATCCATGGCTGTGGCCCAGCTGTGGCGTCGACGGCGCCCTGGGCGGCGGCAAGTAGTAGTTTTAAACGTGGCGATGTGGATCAATCGCGCAGCATTGGGCAGGCGCCTGGACAAGCTGCGCCCGCTGATGGCGCCCCGCACGGAGACGCCGATGACGCAGGCCTCTTTCTCAGCTTGGTCGCCTCCTCAAGCAAAACAAGGGCGACGAGGATGGCCTTGGCAGGGGCGGAGGGTGGGTCTCTGGAGGTCGCCCGCTGGCGGCTCGCCGTCCAGCTCATCAGAGGTTCGCCCAGTAGTTTCCTGGGCGGAGGCGTGAGAGTGGGAGAGAGAGAGAGAGAAGAAGCGAGTGAGAGAGAGAGACATATCTATATATATATATAGATAGAGAGAGAGAGAGAGAGAAAGAGAGAGAGCGAGAGAGAGAGAGAGAAAGAGAGAGAGAGAGATAGAGAGAGAGAGAGAACAAGAGAGAAAGAGAGAGAGAGAGAGTGAAAGAGAGAGAGAGATGCAGGATAATGCCCTTGTCTAGGACGATTATGATGCTGGTGCCGCTACGGGAAGTTTCACGTTCACGGCGGTGAATTTTTTTGTTCGGTGGATCCTGAATCCAGCTCGTCCCATCAGAGAGTTCGGCGAGGGGCGATTTGTTGAGCTGCGCACGGACGCGCATCTTCCGAGGCATTCTGGCGGACCTGCTCCATGGCGCGCGTGGCGCAGTTCTTCGGCACTCCCTACCGCGGCGGCAAAGGGCGGACGCTGGCCGGTCTCCCGCCCAGAGGCGTCACGTGGGCCTATCTTAACGACGAGCCGCTGCTCTCGATCCAGTGGCGTGGCAGGTGGGCGTGCGTGCGAGCCTCGGAGCACCGCATCCGAGATGCAGCCTCCATTGCGGTGCTCTCCGGGCATCCGGCGGACCTGGTGGCTACCGCTCACTACTCGGCCGCTTGCCCCGGCCTGCTCGTAGGCTCGGCTTTCGCGCCGCCCCCCTGCCCGCCTGCGGGCGCCCCAGAGTCGCCGGCCAGCCTCGAGTCGGCTTCGCCCGTCGCTGCGCCCAACAGCGGTTCCGCTTCCAGAGCGGCGGCCTCTGCGGCGGCTGCTGCTGGCGCCCCTGCTGGGCGCCGCCGGTTCTCGTTTTTGCGGCCGCGCTGATGGAGGCGTCCTTCGAGGCGCTCGCTCTTCGGTAGAGCTCCCGCGGCCCTCTCTGCCTTGTGACGTTTTGGGCTGAAGGCGCTTCGAGCGTCTCGCCCACTCGTCCCCGGTCTCGCGTAGGCGCGTCGGGTCTTTCTTTCTGGTTTCTCTTCTCTAACGGGCTGCCAGTGTCGCAGCCTCGCGCCGCGGTGCTCTCGGCGAGTCCTGTTATGCCCGCGGCGTCGCCATTGCTGCTGGTGAGACGGCTTCCAGCGTCTCGCCGTTCCTGGCGGTCGCTCGCCGGGCGTCGGGCACTTCGTCCGCATGGGGCCTTCCCCTGCTGCTCGCAGCGGCGCTGGCGTTGCAGATCGAGGCTGCTCCCGGCGCCTCGCCCGCCAGGCAGTTCGGCACGCGCGCCCACGGTAATCCCCGCAGCCAGACAGTGTTTTCAGCGTCGGCTCCGCTAGGCCTCGCGATCCTGGCGGCGTCGCTCGTTCAGTGCACGAGTCATCGAGCCGTTCGGTTTCTCCCGAAGGGGCCTTTTCTCCACCTGGAGCTCTCGCTCCCCGGAAGGTGCCTTTTCGCGCGCCGTTGCCTTCGTGTATGTTTGAGCGGTGCTCTCCCTTCTTCTTCTTACGAGTTTTGCTGTTGTTCTTCTTATTCGCATTATCATTATCATTATGTGTAGTATTAGTCGGAGGTGAGGGGGTGATATCGAAGTGGAACGGAGAGCCCCCCTACCGGGAAATCGGTTTCGGTTTCGTGTTCGTGCGTGCCGTGCGTGCGGTCGAGGCGAAGCTGCGTGGGCGGGCGAGAGGAAGTCTCCTGTGGCTGAGGCGCGGCCGGACCAAATGACTCCCTTCCGGCGTCGGGTGGCGCGCGGTGTCCCGCCGGTGTCCCGCCGGTGTTCCGTCGGTGTCCCGATGATGATGATAATGATGATGATGATGATGATGATGATGATGATGATGATGACGATGATCATGATGATGATGATGATGATGATGATGATGATGATGATGATGATCATGATCATGATCATGATCATGATCATGATCATGACGATGATGATGATGCCGATGATGTTGATGATAATGATGGTGATGGTGGTGATGATGATGGTGTCCCGATGATGATGACAATAATAATGAAGATGACGTTGTCGATGTTGATGATGATGGTGATGATGATGGCCATGGTTGTAATCATGGTGTCCCGATGGTGATCGTGCTGCTGATGCTGATGTTGCTGATGATGATGGTGATGGTGTCCCGATGACGATGGTGATGTTGATGATCTTGATGATGTCGTTGATGATTAGATGACGAGATGGTGCTGATCATGATGAAGATGATGATGATGATGATGATGATGATGATGGTGTCCCGATGATGATGGTGATGATGAGGTTGATGATGATGTTGTTGATGATGATGATGGTGTCCTGATGATGATGTTGATGATGATGACGATGATGATGTCCCGATGATGATGACGATGATAATGATGTGATGATGAGGTGATGATGATGATTTTGACGATGGTGTCCCGGTGATGATGGTGATGCTGATGTTGATGATGCTGATGATGGTGTCCCGATGATGATGATGATGGTGATGATGATGGTGACGATGATGATGGTGTCCCGATGACGATGATGGTGACGATGATGATGGTGTCTCGATGACGATGATGGTGGTGATTATGTGGCTGATGATTTTGATGATGGTGTCCCGATGATGATGATGTTGATGATGTTGTTCATGATGATGATAAGATGATGATGATGATGATGATGATGATGATGATGATGATTGTGGTGTTCCGATGCGGATGATAATGGTGGTGTTCAGATGATGATGATGTTGACGATGATGATGATGGTGGCGATGATGGTGTCCCGATTATGATGATGGTGACGATGATGATGTTGATGATGCTGGTTGCGAGGTGATGACGATGATGATGAGGGTGTCCCGATGATGATGATGATGATGATGATGATGATGATGATGATGACGATGATGATAATGGTGATGATGATGATGATGCTGATGATGATGTTGATGAATGGTGACGATGATGTTGGTGATGCTGATGACGTTGATTGTGAGATCGATTGTGATATCGATAGTGAGATCGATAGTGAGACCGAATGTGAGATCGATTGCAAGCTCGATAGTGGGATCGATAGTGAGACCGATTTGTGATATCGATAGTCAGGTCGATTGTGAGATCGATCAAGTGAAAGTGATCGAGTGAGATCGATTGTGAGTTCGATCGAGTGAGATCGATCGAGCGAGACCGATGATGAGATCGATACTTACATCGATAGTGAGACCGATCGAGTGAGACGTTGGATCCTCCCCCCCGAACCTCCCTATCACCCGAAGGGTGGTCGTATAGGTATTTGTACGTTTTTTGTTGTTGTTTTTTTCGTATTAGTTTTCTTATTCTTAGGATTATTAGTATGATTATTATAAGTCTTATCCTCCTTTTCCTTCTCATCCCGTTGGGGGCGGGTCGGCCGGCCTCTGTTGCCTGTTCGTACGCGCCCGTGACGACCCGGCCCCGTTTTTCGCCCTGAAAGGGCGCGGCTGTTTGACCCTCACGGCCCTTGTGACGGGCCGTGCGTGGTGTGCATTTGCGGTCGCCCGCCGCCGTGTTTCGGCAGGCGCCCGCCTCCGAGGGGCGCTGCTCCGCGCAGCGTGTGCTTCAACGGGCTGCGGTGGGACCGGCCGCGGCGCCGGCCCCCGCATCGTGCCGCAGCTCTGGTCTGACATGGCTCTGGAGCGTGCGCGCGCGGACAAAAACGGGCAAGCGCGCGCGTTGCGGGGAACGAGGGAGAAAGCGAATTGATCCTCCCGCACGCACCGCTTTTCAGTGTTTCCCCCGCCCTCCTTCCCCCGTATCTCTCAATTGCAGTTGCCTGCGTCCGTGCTTCGGCAGGCGCCCGCCTCCGAAGGGCGCTGCTAGGCGCAGCGTGCGCTTCCTCGGGCGGCGGTGGGCCCCGCCGCATTTATTGCCCCTGCAGCGTGCCGCAGGTCTGGTACCTGGCGCCCAGTGGCCATGAGAGCCATCTTGTCAGGTGGTCAAGTGAGGACCCCGCCCGGGCGCAGCGGCGCCATGCGAGCGGGGCCATTGGGGTCTCCACGGGGTTTCCCGATGAGGCTACGAAGCTTGCGAAAGCGCGCGCCAGAGGTAGCGCACTCGGCCGCCGAGAGTACAAGTGCCCGTGTACTTCGGTTGCGCAGTAGGTCACGCAGTCGGCCGCCGAGATTAAGATTGTCTCATATTGGTTGCGCCAAAGATTGCGCGCTCGGCCACCGAGATTAAGACTGTCCTGGTTGGTTGCGCCTTAGGTTGCGCGTTCGGCCGCCGAGGGTGCACCGATCTCCTTTTGGTTGCGCCATAGGTTGCGCTCAGATTCATAGTCGTACTCGTTCGACTTAGTTCGACCATGGTCGTTGTTGTATCAGAAATCGGGAGTGTGCTGCGCGAGAGAACAATCTATGATATCTTGGGGGGTCTGCGGTGCTGAGAGAATCTTCCGTGCCCAAACAGCGTGGTTTCCTGGGATGTACGACCCCCCAGAAACGCCGGGGGATCTGCACAAAAAACATTGGCTTTGCAATTCGAAATCGTGGACGACAAGGAGGAGGACACGTATGAAATCCAGTGGTCGCCCATTGATCCCAATGGTATTCCCACCGCACTCTTAGGCAGATTACATCACGTTTTCAAGAGTCCCGGCAGCGAGTTCAGCTCCACAACCGTCATCATCACGGTCATCGATGTCGTCAGCATCGTGCGACGTCAGGAATGCTAACCCACTTCGGTTTCCACTTCTGTGCGGCAGTACTTGCGGTCGACGGGGGAGCAATTTCTTGCGGGTTAAGAATATCGTTTAGCTGAACCCGCCCATCGGATTACTTGTATTTGTTGCGGTAAGAACAATCCCACAGGGAGGCGCTTCATCGCTTCGCGCGGCTATCATGCCCAGGACCACGAAACGTCCCAAGTTATGATGGCCTTTGTTCTCACTTCAATGCACGTGCCTTGGGCCATGATTTGCAAACTCCCCTCTTGGACGCCCCGGGTCGGGGGGATTCGGGTCACGCTGGTCACCACCCACCAAACCACCCCAACCCAACCGAAGGCCCCAATTTCTCTTCCATTCCCAGTGGGAGGGGGGGCGTCGGGGAGCATTGAAAAACACATGTACCCGGTGCACCCCCAAACCGAAATTTGGGGTCTTTGGGTTGGACTGGGTTGGTCCGGTAGGCAATCAGCCCGGCGCATGCCTGCGCCCCGCGTGCGGCGAGGGAACGCCTGATCCCCATCATCACCGTCCTCACCTTCTTCCTAAGCGCGGCGGGGAGCGGGGGGAGAGCGGGCGCCTGCGTCAGCGGGGGGGAGGAGGAGGAAGAGGAGGAGGAGGAAGAGGAGGAGGAGGAGGAGGAGGAGGAGGACGAGGAGGAGGAGGAGGAAGGGGCAGGAGGAGGAGGAGGAGGAGTAGGGGCAGGAGGAGGAGGACGTGACAGAGGAGGAGGAGGAGGAGGAATACGAGGAGGAAGAGGAGAAGAGGAGAAGGAGGAGGAGGAGGAGGACGACGACGGGGAGCAACACGAGGAGAAGGAGGAGGAGGACCAGTGTAAACCCAAGAGGCACCAACGATGTTGGAATAAACCCTCCCTTCAAGCTCCCTCCTTCATAGGCCCCTACAACGGTTCATTTTTACTGAGGAAGCTGCCTCGTTGGAGGACAACTGTTTAAAGACCCTGAAGCATGCCAAAACATGGTTCTCGGAATTCTTACACCACGGATCAACCTGTGTGTTGCGTTTTGACGGTCCTGAATTGCGCCAGAACGCCATTCCTGGGATTTGAAACCCGCAAATTAACATACCTTGTGCACCACTGTAAGCCTGAGTCCTTCCACAACGAAATTTCTGGTACGTTGATCATGGGAATCTGTGAAACTTTGGCAAATGTTTAAGACGAGTGTGCGTGGCGCTAAGGAGAGCGCCACATTTTGAAAAGGAACCGCCCTCAATCCGCGAAGCCCTTCTAATTTTTGGAGACGAATGTGCGCGGCGCTATAGAGAGAGAGAGGAAGAGAGAGAGAGAGAGAACGAGAGAGAGAGAGAGATATTCTCAAGACGACTCGCCCTCAATCCGTGAAACCTTTTTGCATGTTCCACAAAGACGAATATGCGCGGCGCTGAGCGAGTAAGAGCGAACAGTCTTAAATTCATTGTTGTTGTTGGTGGTGTTGGTGTTGTGTTTGTTGGTGTTCTGCTTGTTGTTTACGGTTGGTTTGTTGTTATAGTTATTGTTGATGTTGTTGTGGTTATTGAATCGCTTCGCTCATTCCGCCGGCTCATATTGCGCGCCGTTGTCGATTGACCGATTGGTCTTTCGCGGTGCGGAGTTGCAGGGGCAGTTGTTGCTTTTTTTCAGGTTTTGCGTTCGGCATGTGAGGCTTCTTGGTGGACGCTTGGGGAGTCTTGAACGCGTCGCGGGCCGACTGGAAGCGTTTTGCCTATGGGGACTTCTTCGGGAGGTCTCTTGGTGGCCTCTTGGGGGCTCTTAAACGCGTCGGTTCGTTGGCACTTGCTTGCGAGCTCGGGGGGGAATTTGGAGGGCCTCCTGGGGCCGCTTGGGGGCCTCCTCAGGGCCTGTTGGGGGCCTCTTGGGGCCTCTTATAGGCCTCTTGGGGACTCCTGGGGGCTTCTTAGGGCCGAGGGCTCGAGATGTTGTTTCGTCTTCCCCCCCGGGACCTCTCTTGGGGCGTTCTTGGGGCCTTCTTTGGCCGTCTTGGAGGCCTCTTGGGCCAACTCTTGGGCAGTCTTGGAGCCCTCTTGAGCCGTCTTGGGGCCCTCTTGGGGGCCTCTTGGGCCGTCTTGGGGTGTCGGGAAGCCGGAAAGGTGGAAACGCGTAAATCTGCCCCAAACTTAAGGAAAGGCAATTGCCTCTTGAGAGTGCTCTGGGATGCCTCTTGGGCCGTCTGGGGGCCATCTTGGGCGTCTTGGGGCGACCTTCTGGCATCTCGGAGCTCTCTTGTATCATCTTGTGGGGCTCTTGCCAGACTCTTGGACTTTTTGGGGCTCTCTGGACGGCCTCGAGAGCGGCGCCCAGGAGGAAAACCATCTGACCCGAGTCGCCGGGACCTGCCCAGGGTACTTTTCGTCCGTGGACCCCCAGGGGCCGCCCCGCGCGCACGAAGTATAGTTATTGTAAAGCAGTTACTTGAGATTTTAGCACGCTTCTGGCCCGTTGGGCCAGCGAACTGTTGTTGTGTATTTGTGGTTGTTGTTCTTGTTGTTCTTGTTGTTGTTGTTGTTGTTGATGTTGTTGTTGTTGTTGTTGTTGTTGTTGTTGTTGCTGTTGTTGTTGTTGTTGTTGTTGTTGTTGTTGTTGTTATTGTCGTCGTTGCCGTTGTCGTCGTCGTCGTTGTCTTTGACGTCTTCGTCGTTTTTGTTGTAAGTGTTGTTGTTGGTGTTGTTGTTGGTGGAGCTGCTTTTGTTGCGGTTGGATGTTAATTACTAGACAATTCGTATCATTATCAAGTGGTTTGGGGGACCGTCAAAGCCAGCCCCCCAACAACAACAACGCTCCCGTTCGAGATTCCTTCTTGTTTTGCTCAAGGCTGGTGTTCTTGCTCGCCGCCGGAAGCAGCCCTCTCAATAATACCAGCGCTCCCGCTCGAGACTTCTTCCCGTTTTACCGTGGACAGGCGCGCTACTCTTTCTCTCATCGGCGCCGCCCCCCAGCATCAACAACGCTCCCGTTCGAGATCTCCCCTTTTTTACTCAAGACGGTGCTCTTGCTCGCCGCCGACAGCCCCCGTCCCGACAAAACCAGCACTCCCGCCCGAGACTTCCTTCCGTTTTACGCTGGGCTGGCGCCTTTTTCTCCTCCTCCTCCTCGTCGTCGTCCCCCTTCTCCTCCTCCTCCTCCTCCTCCTCCTCCCTCCTCCTCCTCCTCCTCCCCTCCCTCCCTCCTCCTCCTCCTCTTCCTTCCTCCACCCCTTCCTTTTCTCCCTCCTCCCCTCCTCCGTCCCTCTTTCCTCACTCTTTTCTCCTCCCCCCCTTTTCCTCCCTCTCCTCCCCCTCCTCCTCCTCCTCCTCCTCCCCCCTCCTCCTCCTCCTCCTCCCTCCGCCTCCTCCTCCTTCTTTCCCTCCTCCTCATTTTCCTCCTCCTCCCTCCTCCTCCTCCTCCTCCTCCTCCTCCTCCACCTCCTCCTCCCTCTCCCTCCTTCCCCTCTCTCTTCCTCCCTCTTGCTTCTTCCACACCATCCTTTTCTCCCTCCTCCCTCCTCCCTCTCCCGTCCCTCTTTCCTCCCTCCTCCCTCCTCCTCCCTCCTCCTTTCCCTTTTCGTTCCCCTTGTCTCCTCCCTCCTCCTGCCTCCCTCCTCCCTCCTCCCTTCCCCTTCCGTCCTCCTCTGTCGCCTTTCGGGGGTTTCCAAGAGTCCCTGTTGAACCTTCATTATTTGATGACTATCACGTTTGGAACGCATAGGTAATGTGGAGGAGGAGAAGAAGGAGGACGGATGACTTCCAGGGACCCCAAGGGTCGAGGGTCGAAGGGTCGATTTCAACGATTCCTTGGGAGGGCGTGGAGGGTAGGTGGAGGATGCGAGCATGGAAGCGGCAGCGCGCGAGGGCGTGACCGTTCAGGGTCACGCGCCGAGGCCGCAGGATGTTGGCGCAGCAGTTCGAACGAGGAGTAAGAGCCACGTCGTCCTCGGAGGTACTGCTAGTACACCTGCTCCTCCTGCCTCCCCCTCCTCCTCTTCCTCCATCCCCCTCCTCCTCCTCCTCTCCCTCTTCCTGTCCCTCATCGTCCTTCCCCTCCTCGTCTTCCTCGTCCTCCTGGATGCGGGGCGCGCGCAAGGCGATGCCGGTGGCGATGGGCCGTCCGCGCTGTAAGAGGCGGTGGTAATATTTTCCCGGAAGAGGCGGTGGTAATATTTTCTCGGGCGGGGGATCTGGGCGAGGGATTGTCGGGCCCCGCGTGCCAGACGCATTCCCCATGATAGGGCGCGGTGTCCTGAAGGATGCATGTGACGTGCGGAAGCGTGCCGCATGGTGGTAAACACATTGTTGTTGTTGACTGCTCATTTCTTTTGCAGAATAATTATGGCTATCTCCGGAAGCGGTTCCGGGGCCTCTCGCCTCGACGCCGGCTGCGTCTTTTTTTTTGAAAACGAGGCTCCCGCTCGAGCGTTGGTTCGACACCGAAAGCGCGCCCTTGGAGGCCCAACTGCGATAACAACGCCTCCCGCGCGATATTTCCTTACAATTTACGCCCCCGAACTCAGGAACGGCGCTCTCGCTCGAGACTTCCTCGCGATTCAATCAAGTAAGCGGGGGCCCATCCACGTCGGCCTGAGCTCCTGCTCGGAACTTCATCACGATTTTCTCCGAGAGGCCCTGGCCAGGATGGCCCCCGAACTGAGGGACGGCGCTCTCGTTCGAGACTGTCTCCGGATTCAGTCTGATTGGTGGAGGCCCAAATCCGACGACCCGGGTTCTCGTTGGATAGTTCCTCAAAATGCATTCGCAGAGGCCCTTACAAGAGGCCCCCGAAATCACGAGTGGGGCTTTCGCTCGAAACGCTCTCGTCATTCAGTCAATTAGGCGTGGGCCAAGCGACGACGACAAGGGCTCCCGTTCGTTATCTTCTCGAGCTGTATTTCAAGAGCCCGTGGCCCGAGACTGCGTGTCAGCAGCGGCGCCGGAGGCCCACCTGCGACGACAGGGGGCCCCGCTCGACACACCCTTTAATTTTCCTACACGACCTGGCCAGATAGGCCCCCGAACCGCAGAGGCCCCAGCACGCTGCCCACGGATGCCTTCGGACACAGCCCACAGAGATCCCAGCGAGCTGCCCATTGAGGCCCCAACACACAACGCACTGATGCCCAGGTGCCCGCATGCCCTCCGACACAACCCACCGAAGCCCTAGGCGCCAAGCGCGCCCACAGATGCCCCCCCGCGCTGCCCAATGAGGCCCGGAGCGCGCCCGCAGAGGGCCCAGCGCGCTGCTCCCCGACAGCCCACAGAGGCCCCAGCCCACAGAGGCCCCAAACGTGCCCACTGAGGCCCCAGCTCACGGCCCCCGCGCGTTGCCCACTGAACCTCTCGACGCAGCCCACAAAGGCCCAAGCCCCAGCCCCAAGCGTGCCTACGGAGGCCCGAGTGCTGCCCACCGGGGCCCCCCGTTCCACAGAGGCCCCACGCGCGCCCACAGAGGCCCCAGCCCACAGAGGCCCCGAGCACCCACAGAGGCCCCCGCGCGCTGCTCATGAAGGCCTCTGGCACAGCCCACTGAGGCCCCGAGCGCGCCCACAGAGGCCCCAGCCCACAG